CAGATTGCAGCACATTATCTAGCGTTTGCTGTTTGCTTGATCAGCGCCTCTGGAAAGGCATGGTGTGTCTTCCGCTAGATAGACATAGTTGTCCATTTTTAGAGCGCTTTGAAAGTTCATGTTTGTTTTTGTGGTGATCTCTGCACTATATGTCAGCCTTCTTCAGCGTAGTATGATGGCCTTCTGAATGCGCCTACATATCGCCGAATCGGCTCGTATTCATTGTTACACCTGTCGAACAAAATGCGTTAAGGAGACTCCTTCTACTACATGACACTTATGTAGTGTTTTTTCCGAAGCAGCTGTCAATAACATCGTGGCTTCGTGGTAGGACACCTGCTTACCGTGCAAACCGTCCGTGTTCGATCCTCAATCGGGCCGGCTTTTCGTTCGTTATTTTATTTCCTTCTTTCGCGATTTTTCGCTCACAACCAAAGGTGCCGACACTGACGGCGGAATTTCTGCGACACAAGCTCTATAACGCTATCACGTTAATACCAGCCGGTGAACGTGTCTGCTTACGGATGCCAATACGCCGATGTGGACTCAGTGAATAACTTCTGCGATGGTACTTCGAACCATACAAAGTTGTTCGACGTCTCAACCAACTCGATTACCAGGCTGTTCCCGATGGCATCACGAACTCTCAACGTCATCGATCGCGACCTGAAGTCATCCATGTTGCGCGCCGCAAGCCGTTTCACGCGCAATAACGAACTTAAGGAGTGTATTAAAAGCTATATAGTCTCTCTCGGGGACCTTCGACGCCGAAATTTTAATCTGTCTGTCTTTCTGTCTGTCTGTAGATTTGTCTGTTTGTCCGTGGTAACGATTCATCTAATGGCACCAAACGATATCTCAAACGGCCAAACCCATCCGCCGTGTCCACCAATATTTTTTAAGTTTCAGCGTTCATGCTTGTGCGATTGTCAAGTAAAAAGCAATTATTGTGCATATCTGAGGCACTATAACAACACCTTGATGTTTTGTATGTGTGCGTTTTTACTAGAGAAGGCACACACAAATAATTCTAAGGATAGTAACGTTTATCACGATGCGCTGACAGAGCAACGCGATGCTCAAAAAGGCAAGTGTTTTCAACGCATTGCTAAGACGACATGGTGGTGGCACCTACCCGTCGCTTTGCGTTCTACACCTTATCACCTCCGAGACAGGCACGCATCTTTCTCCGCGGGCGTGCATGCCTTCCTTCGATTTCGAAGATAACTGCCAAATGGCACTCGTGTCTAACGTGCCTCGATGCGCTCGTTCACCTTGGCTAGACGTATCGAGACTCTCTAACGCAGCGCTTCCAGAATACAATTCACCAATTTTCTCGCGCAGAACATCAAATAAACGTTTTCTTCACTCGCTCCACGCGCAAGTCTATCGTCTTTCGGCGATATTAGCAGTGAGACATGCAGATATAGGGCCAATTTCTGTTGTTGTTATGGTTATTGCTGTATCATAATTTATTGCTTGTAGTTTCGTGCATTCTTGTACTTTATGTTCTGTTAAAGCACTGGGCCGATGCTTTTTTTCAGATCGGAGCAATGCTGCGGTCCTTTCTCATGTTTTGTTGTTGCCCCGTTACACTGTACGTAATTCTAAGCGCAAACCGCACCTGCATTGTTCGGGGTGCCTTGGCACTGAGATAATTTTGTTATTATTACAACCACTTCGCGAAAATTACAGTATATTCAACAACCTACGTGGCCGCTAACGACAACGCTTGAACATTTTATGGCACCTGTTTGATGCCGACGCGCTTCACCACTTGTCAGTTGATCGACGGCTGACGCACTGTTAGCCGCTTGCAGTACCATTGTGTATCGCTGTAATCTTACTTTTCGTTCGTTGGCTACAAGGTCGCCCCCCCCCTAAAAAAACAGTTTCATCTTTATCTGCAGTCAGTCCTTTTTGTCCATGTCCCGACTAAACCACATTGTCGTGCAGTTTGCTCGTGTTTGTTATTGTGTAGTAGTTTTGTATAAGGCTTTACCTTCCAAAAGCATGATATGACTATCAAAAACACCGTAGTTGAGGACTCCGCAACTTTCGACTATCTGGCGTTCTTCAACGAGCACTGATGTATTATACTACATGGTCATCTACCATTCCACCTCCACTGATTTGGGTGCACCTTAAAGAACCCCAGGTGGTCGAAATGTCCGGAGCGCTCCACTACGGCGTCTATCATATACATATGGTGGTTTTGGGACGTTCAACCCCACATATCAATCAATCAATTCTACCTCCGCTGATATAAGACCGCTGGAGCCGGCGTGGAACCCGTCTTTTTCGAATCAGCAACCCAGCACCAATAACACTGATCCACCTTGCGTTGCGTTAGCATGGAACTTTGTGCGCTGTCAGTGCACGTTAAAGAACGCTTGACGGGGAAAGTTTCTGGGGCCATCTACTTCAGCGGGTCACGTATTAAAATAAAATTTCGGTCATTGCCAGAAATTGGAAACATCTGAACGTGGCGCCATATCTCGCCAGCACAAATGGCTGCATTCCGTAACCGAATAGTAAATGGGTGGTAAAATTGAAAACTCTTTAAAAAGGAAACTTATCAAAAACCACACGGTGTTTCATGTATCAGTGACGTGCTAGAATATTTCGGTAAAATTGCAGTATCGCGGAACTTTGGTAAAATTGCAGTGTCGCAGAACAAAGTGGGTGGTTTCCCAGGACAGCTAAGCACCGCCCTTAGAAGTACATGCGATCTAATTGTTGAGTATTAAACGCTGTCGGTAGCGAGGTGGTTTACAGTGCGACACTGTAACTTTGCAAGACTATTCAAATATGTCTCTGCTCTATAAAACTGATTTTCTGCTCTCCAAATAGGTCTCTGCTCTACAAAACTAGCTTTTTTTCGTCAGATATAATTTTTTCGCCCATTTCTCCTTCAGTTATGGCAGGCCACCCCTGTCGCTGACGGAGAGACGGCACTATGCGCAAATATTCCCAAATCCACAAGTCCTGGTCATGTTTGCCACGTAAAGCCCCTGATATTATTATCATGTGTGCCATCAGTGAACTTACACACGCGCAATGCAACCATTGCAACCAAGCACTTCTGTTTTCATCTTCTACGAAGATGCCACTTCATCACTTGATGCACCGGCAAGATGCGTTTAACCTTTGTAGATACTACCTGCAGTAGAAAGGAAAAGGCATTGTGGCTTTTCATCGTTTTGCCCCTACAGGACTTGGGCTGCAAGTCCCAGGAGCGAGCGCCTGTCACACTGCTGTTTCCCAGACTGCCGGATGCACCTTCATCGCCAGCACTTTCAGCTGGAAGAGAATTTCAGGCAAGCCATAGGACACTGGCCCTACTATCAAGCACATCTCGCCTCACCGAAGCCAGTACGTTCCAAGGTGTCTCAGGCATAAACGTGCCAACGTGAAGTTATGGATGATTAGGTAGTGTTATTGAACTATGCAGGCTTGTGGCTTGCGAGTGCTTTTAATGTTGGCTTACATATAAATTGTGAAATATTTGCTTGTTAATCCCACAAAATAAGGGAAGTGCGCAGCTGGCCTTCAAATATATAAAGTTTCTCATGCTCGTGACCGAAATTTGAAAATTCTCGTTAACAAGCGCCCAGATCTTGAAATTGGTTGGTGCACAAAGATATGCGAGCCACCTAATGTGTTTTCAAATAAAATACTCTGCAGTGGCGCAAAGCTGATTAGGATACGCATGAAATTGCTTCCTGTGCAGGAAATTGGCCTTAGTGAGCGTGCCACCTTATTTCATGCTGTAAAATGTTGCATTAACGCTATCACAGACACACCTATAAGGGAAGTAGTCATGTATAGTACTGATTGCTCTTGAAACAAGGCTGATAAAAACATGAATAGGAAGCTAGTTAAGGCAAGAACTACTACATCGCAAAACAGAGTAACACTGCTTCAAGGAATGCAGTGATGTCGTAGCCATGCCGCATTACTCGCACGTAGCCTCTCAGAATGATAAGGTTAATTTGCCTCTCAGAATGGATACACATAATAGCCAGAACACGCCGCAAGGAATCGACATGCCTTTATATTCATGAAGTACGGTGCGTGCCATTCTACGGACCCCTGTCCGTCCCGACCTTGTTCTCATAACGCTGAAGTACACCTAGACCTACCCTTTTGGTGCAAGACAACTCCAATCTGAATGCACTAGGGAGATTAACTTTCTCGTTAGGGAGACCACGCGTGCGCCGACATTGCCTTCATTTATCCGCCAGTGCATTCCGGCGGCAAACGGCTGCGTGTTAAGCATTCCGAATTGTTCTAGGAGTGTCTGTGTCATTTATTTTTGGTCATTTGCATCCTGTTCTTTATTTTTTATGTTTTACAACATCAGTCAAATTGTAGAAAATAGGAAGACAATGCAAGCGCACAGAATATAAAAAAGCGCACAATATTATTATTTTTTTTTACTTTCAAGAGAAAGTCTCTACTTCCTAATATTCTTTTGATAGGCAAGTCAACCGAGTGTGGTGGGGTAATATGACGTCGACGATCAGCAAAATTTACGAATAGTTTCCTTTAGTCTTCAGGGTCTCAGCAGGGTGCTCCGCAATGAAAAGTTAAGATTACTATGAAATGATCACCTGCCAGAAAAGAATAATATTTGCAAAGATATTTATATAAACTTCTTCAGTGGCGCTAGCATGCGAAAAAGTTTTTTAAACGAAGCGTTTCAGTGGCACGTTAAGCCAAATTTTACATTGTTTATTCATTCTTCTGACAAGGTGCAATTTGAAGAAGCCTGCCCCACGGCGAAGGAACCACACGAGACAGCGGCTGGCAGGAGACTGTTTATTGCTTTCCCTTACAAGCGGACGAGAGGAGGTTATGGCGAGGGTAGAGTCACTCCAGCGAGCGCACACGTGCCTCCGATGTTCACACCTAAAACATGGTACTGATGCAACTGTCCATAGGTTAAAAAGGGCTGTTCACTATTTTTGTTGATTTATGCAAAAAAAAGACATTCATCTTTGAAATTCCGAGATATTTATTAAAGCCATAACTGAACGGGTCATTTGTACATGATAAGTTCTTGAGCATTTTCGGGTAGGAAATGCACTTCTGAAAATGAAGTCATAGATGGCAGCTAACGAGGCTACTATTGCCCCGATGAAAACCGTCAAATGAAATTGTGGTGCCGACACCTTTCTTTGCGGTGTCCTTTCCAGCATTGCGGAATGTTGTGCCGATGTGTGACAGTTTCTCTTCGGAGCCGAAAACGATGGGCAGCTCGTCACCTGCAGCACTGTCGCTCTTCAAGCACCGAGCTCTAAAGAGGAGTTCCACAGTTCTGCATGCTGGCGCCTCGCAGTACACATAGAGCAAGTAGGCTAAAAGACAGCCCCAGGTGAGCACAACCATAGAGAAGGAAACCTGCCGAAAGAGAGAGAGAACGTCAGTAGAATAATGTGAAACCATTGGGATGTGAGGGAGCATGGGGTGACTACGCAATCATTTTAGTTTCTTAGAGCCCCGCCGCGGTGGTCTAGTGGCTAAGGTATTCGGCTGCTGACCCGCAGGTCGCGGGGTCGAATCCCGGCTGTGGCGGCTGAATTTCCGATAGAGGCGGAAATCTTGTAGGCCCGTGTGCTCAGATTTGGGCGCACGTCAAAGAACCCCAGGTGGTCGAAATTTCCGAAGCCCTCCACTACGGCGTCTCTCATAATCATATAGTGGTTTTGGAACGTTAGACCCACATATAAATCAATCATTATTAGTTTCTCAGAATTGTAACTGTTCGTTATGAACCGTACAATTGAAATAATTGATATGTGAGGTTTAATATCCCAAAACGACCATATATTTATGAGAGATGCCGTAGTGGAGGGCTCCAGAAATTTCGACCAGCTGGGGTTCATTAACATGCAATCAAGTCTGAGCCAGCGCGCCTACACCATTTTCGCCTCAATCGAAACTGCAGCCGCCGCAGCCGGGATTCAATGCCGCGACCTGCGGGTCAGCAACCGAGCACCTCAGCCACTGTAGACCACCACGGCAGGGCACCGCACAACTTAAGTGTTAGCACTTGTTGGGATATACCAAAAAGTCACCAGAGTGATAAATATTATAGGTTATTCCTTGACTTCCGGTGCCGTATATTGTTATGATCGTACTTGAACGTGAAAAGTAAATGATCCTGCGATCGTCAAGATTCATTTCGTATTGTGCAGCATGCCTGCCGCCGAAGCATGCTATGAGAGCGGCTTCTTATTTCGGTATATTACCAATTAGAACGTAAAGAACATGCGCATAAATATTACGGACATGCGTTTTGAAGATTGTGTGGCAAGAGATGCCATCAGATTTGTTGACTTTCTTTTTTATTCTGGTAGACTGATCATAGGCGACATAGTATGTGCTAACGAAATACGAAATCGATGAAAGCAACATTTTGTAGTGATGTTATGCTTTACTTTCTTTAGACCATCAATCAAATACTGCGCTGCCAATTTACTGACCTTCATTTACCATATTGTACAAGAAATTTATCAAACGAGGTAATTGCGACGTCGTTAGCACCTGGATTATTATTGCAAGATGCTAACAAAGCACAGTCACAATATTTCGTGTTATTTAGAGACGCAGCAGTTAGTGGTCAAACATTTTTTTAAATGCTATCTCCTCAAACGCCATCAGTGACTTCATAATTGCTTTTGATGTTCAACTTAACCTGAACCGCAGTATGAGAGTGAGGCTTGCTCTAGTGGCTGACTCTGAAATAATTTTGTCCACATGTCATGTCTTTTTTTTTCATCTGCTCATGAACTGTAGCACACGGGCGTTTCTGCGTATTGTTCCTATCGCGATGCTTTCGCAGTCACCGGAAATTGAACCTGGGCCCTCGTACTTAGTAGAGCAACGCATAACTCTCAAGCAACCATAGTTAGTAGTTAGCTTCAAACAATATCGGCCGCTGTCACTAACTTATTATACACCTTATTTTTTTGTGCTTTGCTGCTCGGTACAGTTCCGCATAGGTGGATTTCATTATTTTTGTTTGCCCTGTGAGCTCGATATCGCGAACAGCACATACCCCGGGACGCGCCTTGGTGGCGTAGTGATTGTAGCATTCGTTTCTCTGCTGAGTTAGGAATTTAGCAGAGCACATGGCAATTCTCGCATACAGCGGCTTCATGTTTAGGGCGCTGTCGCAGAAAAAAGAAAATACTCGTATAGATATCGATAGCTCCATGGTAATGAAAGCTACGCTGTAAAAAAACAGCGCGAAAACGACAAGAGAGAGAAAAAACAGGACATGTCACTGTCCGTTGCTTTTTACTTCTTCTTTGTTTCTTTTTACTGCGGATGTGTACCATCAAGCTCACGTTAACACACTTCTCAATAAACATAAGTGGTGAAAGGTATTTTGGAGTCCACCACTTTGGCGTGCCACAAAGAGATATCGTTGTTTCCATGCAAATATTAAGCCCCAAAGTTTGTTCGTTCTCAATACGACTGCACACGATAAATCAGCATAGAAAGAACAAATACGCTTTCACCTGTTCAATTCTATTTGCGAGACAAAATGTGTTCACTCTCTTTCCTCTTGCTCCCCAAAATTGCCAATATATATATATATATATATATATATATATATATATATATATATATATATATATATATATATATATATATAATTTCTGGACCGTAAACAAAACGCAGCTGTTCACATATTTGTTCCAATATGTCAAACATGTGTATATATGTTGATATTAAACCGTGAAAGATGAACCCACACACCCGATTTTCTTTTCTTTTTTTACCTTCACTTAAAAGGTTGATGAGAGGAGCTATTTAGTCCAACTAGCGCAGATAAATTACTCGGCAAAATCATCGACATGCGACAACCTAGTTCGCGCTATAGAAGAAACAAAAATGGCATGGTTCCTCTTGAATGGTTCCTTTTGAAGCATGGTTCCTCTTGAAGAGGACTTGAAGATGAAAGCCGTGTTCTTTTTTTTTTTAAGTTAATAATGCTCATCTCAACCCTTCCTTACCCCATCAGCCGTCTGGAAGCTCTCAGCACCTACAGTGGGTTTGCACTGCTTTCGAAACTGGAGGCACTTGAATCTTGTTGCATCTGATATAGTTTTTGCATTGCCTCCGAGTACGGCCCACCTTTAATCAAGCGGTGATATTGTGTCGTTACGTCATCGTGTCAAATCATGATGATGTAATCTCAGCATGATAATTTTCAGCATCACTCGTGTTGACGACGGCTGCGGTCAATTTTCGCGTGTGACAAGGCATATAACGCTTTCGCTCCTATACCAAACAAAAAAAAAACTACACTGCAGATGAAGTTACCATGATGTTTCTGCGCAGGCTAACTTTAATGTGGAAACACCATCAGTGAGACAACTGTTGCCTCCGTGGTGCGGAAAAAAACCACAAGTACACCTCGCCATTCTGGGAATTGCGAAAGCCGTCATTGAACAGTGACCTTACAATTGGTGGTATTGTCACTATTAGAGGGACAAGAAAATTGGTCAGAGGACTCACGTTTACAACGATAGGCCGGTTTCAGACGAAAGCTCCACAAGTGCTGTCGTTATTCTGTCTCGCCAAGTGACCATGGAATTCAAAGTGTCCCACAGGACATCAACAGTAGCGTGGCTCACCGCCTTACGTGCCACTATTCATTATATCGCGGAAGTTTAGCCTCAAATATAGGCGTTCTTTTGTGATTGGAGGGCATCTCTTCGCAGCCTGTAATCAGCGTTACGACAAACAATGCACAAGCCGTTAGCGCACGGAACAGAAGTCATTCACCAAGGTTTGTCGCAGGAACGCAAGGTTATATTCCTGTGGCTGTCAGGACATTGCGGCGATGATAATGAGGCTCAGGGATGATGTCCCCCGGTCCTCTCACGAGGACGCCCGGACAATCTCGTCGAGAAGAAACACTGCAAGAAGCCTTGGCTCGTTTGCTGACGAAATGCCGCAAACGTGGTTGAGTGACCCTATAGTGTCGCGACCTGAAGAGCATTGCGTCAGGGGGTGTGATGACTGTGCAGCGACCATGTGTTATTGACTGATGCCCTGGTGGGCGTCGCCATGTGTAATATTTGTGCTTCAATCAGGGAGGGGGAGCCCGACAGGGCTTAAAACGACGTTTCAAAGTGTTGGACGCTGCTTTAAACCATGGTTTAACGTTTCATCTACCACGCTCGTAGTTTGCAGAATTCTAACCCTATCATGATTTAAATGGTTGTAAATAGTGCCAGTAAAACTGTTTGTTTTTTCGTTTCCCCAACTTGTAAGCATTGTTTCCTCTACCCAAAGTTACGCCACGTTACCACAAGAGTCCGGGTCCAATGCAACCTTAAAGTCTCGGCAACCAACACCTGAGCGGGCACGCGTCGGGTAGACCCGGTTCGCACAACGCCAAGCTCCTGATGCCATGGTGGTCGTTTCGCTACCTTCAGATATACCAAATTGGCCTGACGTGGCTTCAATAAATGATGAAGGCATATGACTGGTGCAAACATGATAATCATGACATGCGTGTCATGTAAGAATATGACTACATGCCACACCTATGATGCGCTCGCGGTCGTTCCGCTAGCTTTGCGTAACGCTAATTTGGTATTACATGATGTGAATAAACGACGAGGGTAATTGACACGTCGAAACAAGATAATCATGACATGCGTGTCACAGAAAACACGACTACATGCTACACTTAAGGTGCACTTGGGACAGTTTCTCTAGCTTCACATACACTAAATTTGGTATCACACTGCGCCAATGAACGACGAACAAAAATGCTAGGTGCAAACAAGACAATAATCACATGAAAGTAATGTGAGACTTTTTTTTCTGAAAGAGCCAAGTGCAGAAACCGAAACTAGGCAAAATTTCAGTAGAACGTAAAGCATGCCTCTGTACTTTTCATGATTGATTTGTGGGGTTTAACGTCCCAAAACCACTATTTGATTATGAGAGACGGCGTAGTGGAGGGCTCCGGAAATTTTGACCACCTGGGGTTCTTTAATGTGCACCAAAATCTGAGTACACGGGCCTACAACATTTCCGCCTCCATCGGAAATGCAGCCGCCACAGCCGGGACTTGATCCCGCGACCTGCAGGTCAGCAGCCGAGTATCTTAGCCACTTGACCACCATGGCGGGGCGCCTATGTACCTTCCATTTCTAGAAAAGCTATAATCAAAATGGTGCACTACTTTATTGTAACAAGAGCTAGAAAATGTAGTTTCCAATGAAAAGTGAGCCAAATCGAAGTGAGTCTCAATCATTAAGCCAGTACAGTGCCAGCAAACATGTTCAAAACAACCAACCTGGCCCTACTCAAAATGTTTCATTTGTGTCTTAGTTGATTTGTTATCGTGTGTATGTCCCACAATTAGGTTTTCTAGCTCGAGTTGGCACTCACTGAAGGACATAATGCTCAGTGACTAAACTCGATTATAAAAAGGAAGAGGCTGACTTGCCTACTTTTTTTGCATTGTAGCGATTCTTTTCAACTTTATCGCAACATTATCTTGTCCCCAGTTCACTCTAGCATGGTATATTTGAAAAAAAAAACTATAGGCACGAAAGAAAGATATATTTTTCCCAAAGAAGAAGTGGTCAGAAACGGCACGGAATAAAACTAACTGGAACACTTTTCAAAGACTTCAATTGATGCCAGGAACAAGAAAATCTGATGACAGTCTAGAACATGCCCCTTTTGCCAGGAAGGACCACTCGCTCTCCAAGTCTAGTATTTGCCATTACGACCATGCGTCGAAGCACGGCAGCGGTAGAAGCAAAAATATGATGCAAACTGTATCGCGAAGTATTGCAATACCGCCTATTCAAACAGTTTTACGCTCTTTTCACGACCTAATGCATGTCCAAATGAATTCTTTCTCTCTATATGAGCAAAATACAGAATTTACTTTACAATACTGACAAGATTTGGCTATGTAGATTTAAACACAATATATATTTGTGGTATTTAGAGGAGAGGAACATACCGGTAAAAAGTTGTTTGAGCAGGCCAACCATATTGTCAGTAGAAAATACTGTGTTTTTCTCAGTTTCTTTTAGAGGGAATTCGGCTTTTTTAGGAAAAAAAGGCCTCATATCCGGCATAATTTACGTCCGCCTCGTAACGTTGCGCCTATTTTAATGTGACAGTTCAACCTTCCTCATTCTTGCTTCGCATATCACCGATTCCCATTGTACGTGGAATCTACCAAGTGTTTTAATGTATGCTGTGTTCACTGATCGGTGGTGGGCGTATAATGAACAGACGCACATGTACCCAGCTTTCTTCAATGACCTCATATCTTCCTCCCAATGCAGGGTAGCAAACCGGACGGGCATCAGGTGAACCTTCATACTCTTTTTTCTTTCCTTCTGCCTCCTCTTCGACAGAGCCTACTCTGGTACAATTGGAAATATATATCTATAACATTTTAAACGAACCCATTGTTTTAGCCAAAATGACTTGAATTCGGAAACAAAGTCACGCTGACATCTGAACGGTGTAGTAATACCTGTGCTTAAGTTTCTGAGCGCGATCTGAAATTAGGAGTAATAAACATTGATTTTAGTAGTAATTGACATGTTTCTACCATGAGAACATGTATACAGGTGTGAAATCAATCAGCAACGTGACGTGAAACATTTTTAGTAAATTTTATTTTTCTCCAGCGCTATGCTTTATTATGATTGAAGAAGGAAAAAAGAAGAAAGCCTATTGCTGGGGGGAAAGGGTCCAACATTATACATCTTGACAAGTACCTAGCAGCTGGCCTTCCATATTCCATTCTGACAAACTTAGTTGTTCGCACTTAACCTAGTATGAGCTCCTTCTCATGTCTAAGTACACTAGTAATTCAGTTCGTTGTGCGGAGCTTGAGACTAATGTACATGGTTATTTCGATACTTCGACTTTGGTTCGGTCCGGACATATTTTCTTATCTCAGTTTTTCATCGTTGCAGTGGTCTTAGAACTTTGCGTTGTTTCTTTGCTTATGTCGCAATTCATGAGCTGGGCGGAAATGCGCCACAATAAATGGTAAGTTCACTATTGCGCGTCGATTACACAATTTTATGTAGCGCATTCATAGGCTTGACTAATAATTGTGTTTTCCAGCAATAATTGTTTTTTTCATCTGCCTGCTCCAAGTTGTGTTTTTAGTGTAGTGTATTTATTGATTTGTTTTTTGCTCTGCCATAACATAGTAAACGCCTTGAAGTTAGTCTATCTAGCATTAACGCCCCTGCAAAAGAACAAAAAAAAAACACTCACGATAAAGAAGTGCGAGAAGAACATCCTTTCTCTTGAAATGTGCAGAGTAAACTGCATGAATGGCATGTGGACGACGTACATGGCGAAGGCCAGCCTGCTGAGTGGACGAAGGGCTCGCCAACTCAGAGACGATGCGACAAAGCCTGTGTGAATAAATAAAGGGAAAAATTGTATAGCAATACTAATTTTGAATTAGGACTCATTTAGGCAGTGCCATCAGGGGCAGGTGGTATTTTTCTCACATTCATACCAAAACATGCTTCTATAGAAATGCACCTTTTTAGTTCTTCGGAAAACGGTCTATCAAAATGTCCCTTTTCTAAACTTGATTTTTTTATTATCGAAGAAAACTTTGAAATGTGCGCAGATGTTTTCCTGAGGCATACACTCTGTAATAACAATCATGACACGCACTACGTTCTTTAGCCTTGTGCAGCAGTGTGATAGTAGCATCGAATTGTTTTTACATGTACCTCGCATGTATGAGATACTCGGTTGGAGTTATTTATAAAGAAAACCGGCCAGTTTTCTTTAATCTTAAGCGAATATTTTTGCCTTGAGCTCATCTTCTTCTTTTTAAGCTCCGCTACTGCTGCCGCACAGGAATACAAGTGAGGGAAAAAACACCTGTTGAGTACAAGCTGCTTTTTTAGATATAAACAATACTTGTCAGTGTCGGGAGTAGTCAGCCTTGAAGTTTTCCTTTTTAGATGTGACACGCTACATTTTTTTCATAAAATATAACGTGCAACTTTCAAAATTGTGCATCTTGTTCATAGTGTTGGTGTTATCATATGTATGGCAGATATTGAGGTCACTAAAGTTTATGTATGAAATTTCACACATTTTCTAATCTTGTACGTGAGCGAGAACTTTGTCAGAATATGCTCCCTTTGATGAAACAGTACGTGTTCTATTTGAAAGCGATTCACGCTGCTTTTTGTTCGTATATGCAGCAGATCCTCGGTGATACAATAATAGCTCCGAGGAGTCTTGTGGTGATGCGAATGTTTCTCTGGTCCCGGCCATGACACATTAGCCATCAATATAATGGAGTATACTCCATTAGATTGATTGGGGTGAAAATCGCTTCGTAGCAACCCTATAGGGTTGCTACGAAGCGATTTTCACCCCGCGACGTTTTATACGTACGAACTAATTTTGCGCAAGCACAAACAAGTGCTGCCCGCGTGTTCGTGAAAAACATGGCAATCGCGTGGGCATGCGCGCCACACCGTGCCGTAGCCTCCGAGATTGTGCGCGCCAATCTTGGAGACTGAATTGCGCATTTGTGTGCCTTCGCGTTTACATTACAATTTGCACTAGCCCTTCGTTTTTCCTCTCCTTTTTTTGCTGCGTTTAAACTCATAATAGCGTCATTGAACTGAGTATAACACGTCCTTGTCAAGTCAATGCAAGTTGTGGCCTCGCAATTGGAAAGCATAGAAGAGTAATGGGATGGTCTTCACCAAGGAGTGAGGCCTCGCAAAATCGACAACACGGCTGTTGGCGGCGTGCATGCCTGCCAGCTCTCTGATTTGCATTGGTGAAAGCCTTACGAATACGGGCATGGACGTAAATATCCAGAAATTATCTCAAACACCATGGTGACAACAAAATTGCAACAAGAAGGACAGTGGCTCTATAATTCGCTGGCCTTCATATATCGCTTTCAAAGCGCTTCTTAAGGCAATTTTACGCTGCAATCTGAAGTCACTCGTGAAATCGTACCTAAAATTATGCATGAGCTACAGGTTAGGGGTGGGACTCAGCACACCCGGTCGGTTCATTACACGCGCGCGCATGTACCGAATACTTACAAAGCCAACTATGACTGTTGAAGTCTAAAAACTTTACTGGCATTCATTCTGAGCTGTTTGATGTTGCGATGTCCTTGAGAAATGATAAATGAAAATGTGCTCCAGCTCTCTTCTGTCGCACACTATTTTTTCTTGCTTTCTGGTGATACGTATTTAAAATCGTACAATTATATTGGTCATCATACGAGGCTCGTATCATAGAGGTTTTACTGTATGCGCAGAATCCCCCCGTTATCTCAAGAACAGTACATGTATAGGTACATGTACTTTTGCGGATATCTGTCGGTGTGATGGCTTGGCATACAGCAACGCAGAGTTCCCTGTCAAGGCATGACAAAGGTCTGTCGCAATGCTCCCTTTGCCTGTTATGTGAATAAATGGATGCTGACGTTGGGCCACCCCCCTGCCGAGTCCCTTCTCTATTATGGGAATATATATGGCCGACTTTGCGCCTTTCCGGAAACTTAGGTGACTTCGAGGGGCGGCCACTGGCTGCGCCCACCTTGCCCCCCTCGTGTGTATGCCTATGATAATGTCACATGCGTACTTACTGCAAATGAAATGGCTGATGCGTACACGCATGCCAAAGCTACGCTTAAGGCTAAAAAAAAAACATTCAAAACTGACTGCGCTAAAGAGCTCGTTTCGCAAAACGTTTGGTGTAGGTGTCGGCGGCGTTGTTATCTTTGTTATCAGTGAGAAAGGGATGCTGTCGGGAACAGAAATTCGAGGTATAGCGGGAAGTGAAGCTATGAGCTGGAGGAAAGGTTTGCACTTTGTCTTGCATTGTGGAACAGTTTCAGCTTCCTCCGGGGAAAAAAGAATGAGACTACAGTGCGAATGAGTTCTTCTGGTTTCCACAAAACTCATTTGCATTACCTGTGTCCATGTGGTTCGACTTGTCCACTGATTCACCCTCACGCTGTCAATGACTAGCTTCGTGCTTAGCTCAATTAAAAAGGCGACTGCCCGAGATAGGCATTGGTTCCGGGTTTGAACCCTGGACCAGGACCAATTTTTCTGCTACTAAGAGGCTTTTCTTTCGGAGAAATGCGTACGAATTTTCTTGTGGCTTCGAGTTACAAGCGGATGGCTGTCTTCTTTCTCTTTTCTAACCCTTCCGCCACGCTGTGGGTTTCCGCAGAACTCATTTGCATTACTGGCTTTCACTGAGAAGCGAAGGCAGGCTTGCGAGTGGGAAGGCAGTAGCGTGTGTGTGCGCGCGTGCGTGCTGATATCACTTTCAGCACCTAAAGGCGAGGCTTAGAGGTCCCCTAGTTTTTCATCAGTTCGTGAGGTTTTGTGCAATGCCACTTTTGTGATAAAAACCCACTGGCTTGGCCTTCGAATAACACTGCTAAAGGTTCAACAAAGTAATAATGGCTCGCAACTACAATTGTAGATAGATGTGACAGGATGCTTACGGTGTTTCACGGTATTTTCGACCATCGCAGAGAGTCATCCGATTTATTTGGTTGCGAAAAGCGGATATGTTTATGTTTTACTTCAGATAGTCTTTAAAATGTCGGATATCAGTGTGGGCAAAGGCAACGATAATGTGGTAACGCTGTGCTTAACATTCTTGAATTTTGTGTGACAAAAGAGTGAAGGTAGTTCGCACCTCCTCGTCCCGTGGCGCAAGCGAGAGTGACCCAGGCGAGAAACACGGACCACAGGATTCGGTCAAAGAACGCCGTGCAGAGCTTGCCGAACTCGGTAGTCGGAGCACTTGTTCGGTACCAGGGTCCCTTTATGCAAATGCAGCACAAGCCACTGGCAATAGCGAAACACCATGCCACCTTCTGCAAAGCCTGAAATGAAGTTCTTATAAACGAGTGATTCAATAGTTTGAGCAAATCGGCATGTCGTGGCATGATTTATTTCTAATTTGACACATCATTCGATCGGTATATTTAACATATAGAACAACGTAAGCCGTAGGGCCAGGTGTTTTGTGAAGGTATTCTGGTTTATGAATGTGTTTCTCTTTTTGCATTCTTCCAGCCAAATAGCTGGGTGTCTTAGTTACGGTCAATTTAGTACTACTTTGTGAAAGGCGACAACAGAGGCCAATGAGAAACAATATGTGCCTTTTGGTTGGGAACCTAGAAACAAAGGCGAGACAGTACTAACCTCAGGTATTTTCTTTTCCTTGTACATCGCTGCAACGAAGTATGTTAAGCACCCGCTGAAGCAGCACACGGCATGGTAGTATGGGTAGAAAAAGTAATAGGAGCGGGTCCTCAAAAAAGTCCTGCAGAAAGAAAATCGCATCCATGCATTAAATGACGTTCTGTATTGGAACAATTTCTTATAGTATTCATAATTGAAATGGTCTGAAATAAGACAAGAAAATAATATTTTCAATTGAATCCACGCGTCAGAATTTCTTTGTGTGTGCTGTCTGAGCGCATTAGTTCCGTATGCTTATGTGTTACATGAAAGCTACTCCCCTTAAATATTGCCCCAAGAGCTTTTAAATATCCTGTGTATAAGACACTACTAAAATATACGCACACTGCAGTGTATATAAAATAGGGGCCTCCTTGGTAAGCATGAAAAACGAGCGTAAACTTGCATTGATTCCATCTGGTTCAAGCAGCTACATTTTGAAGAAATATACATGCACTGACTGATCTTCTAGTATCGCATATGAAATCTGTGTCACCAAACTCGAGACGTCAAGGGAAGTCGCAAGCATTAACATCCTTGTCTAGCGGGCTATTTAAGTGTACCTATGGGATGCGTACTTCGAATAAATGACGCAAGTTAATGGAGAGTACACATAACTAAACGAAATTCCAATATATCTGCTCTACATTGACACAATAATTGATATGGACAACTTCTCGTATACTTTCTTTAGCATTATTGACTGTTAGCTCTTACTATATTGTGTCTAACAAAGAAAAAATGAGCCCTGGTTATTTTAATTTTTTTTCGTCATTCACAGCGAGGATCGAGTTTCGGCAGATTTGATGCCTTCAGATAGTATGGGAATGATCATTGGTCAGTTGCCGGTGCGTAAAAAGATCACTGGCTACGTGATGACACAAGGGAGAAAAAGAGCCTTCCGTACTCGCTACCATGGCAGCGATCAGCACAGATTAACATCTCCCAGGTTGAACTTCACAGATATACCCAGTGAAATAACGGAAGGATAACCGCCAACGTAGCTCAGTGGCAGAGCATCGAACGCGTAGGTTGTAGGTTCGGTCCTTGCCGATGGCAAGTTACCGTTTTATACATTTTACTCTCCTTACACTTACATCACAATTACTCAAAATAACATCCCCTGCACTTCTCTTGTTTTTTTGTCTGTTAGTGCTGAACAACAGGGAGTTCTATATCAATTATTACTAGGAAAATTAAATTGCTGCACAAACTTGAAGAAAAAAACAAGGGAGACAGGAAAGAGCGCAGACTACCAACTGTTTTTTCTTCAAGTTTGTGCAGCCATTCAATTTTTCAAGTATGAACCAACTAGTCTGCAAAAAAGTATTGCTTCATTATTACTAGTTTCTGACGAGGACAGTATATGAAATCCTTGTATCATGGCTTGCGTCCGTACTAAATTTCCCAAGAAGTGCATATTTTTCCAAAGGCCCCCAGAGCACGGCCTCAAAAACCTGTAGTATTGTAAGGAATTGTTATTTTAACCTACATTATGAAATATTCCGTGGTTAAAACAATTTTTTTTCACATTATCTTCATGAAATTTTTGAACACTTCCTTCAGCGAGCACCAATATGATGTTTTTTTTCTTATTTTAATGAAAACCGGAACAATAATTGCACGGTATACGTTTCGAAAGGTTCTGCTTATGCGGTGGGTGAATTTGTTAGTGGTACATACGGCGTTGTTTTTAACACATAGCGTAGTAGTGTAACCTCTCTTTAGGTCACGGAAAAGAAGATTAAGAAAGAAAATATAAGAAAGATACAATACACAACAGTATTCGATCAACTAATAAGCACCTCGTGTGATCACCTGACAAGTCGCCGAATCTTGACATGCACCGTGGTCCATAAGCACTACCAAAAAATCTATGTATATCAGTTTGATACACAAAGAATACACAAATTTTAGCCCGTAAATGACAGCCAATCTTAGCGACGAGTGACTTCATTTGTTCGGCCACTGCCCTACATTATAAGCTTTACCACATGCTCAGTCGAAGAGCTCTGGAACAATGCACGTGAGAAATGAGTGTATTCTACACTGCAGCTGCCCAGGAGAAATAAAAAGGAAGGAAACCTTGTCCCGGTTACAAGAGTGAGGTAATTTGTTCCAAGTGATTCTAAAAGTGATATGTCTATACTAATTTTGCACTTTATTTATTTTGTTGCTTTATTTGATATACATACATAAATACACAAGTACAAAGAGAAAACAGGGAGCTATATATGAACTGCTACCTATAGGGGGGCACAACGTCTGCTTATAAATTATCAAAACAGTAAATACAAATATGTTGTAATGGGAGACGAGAGTTAGCAGCATGTCCATTAGTGGCCGCGCTTCCTTCTTTGCTTCTGGCAGCTTGTCTTCGTCGACCATCACTTGGTTATTAACGTTCACCGAAAGTGGCTTACGTAATCGCTTTGGTGTTGTGCACCCACCTCAAAATATGGTTACTTAAAATTGAATCCGCAAGCGTCCGCTGCGCGGCAGAGTACTTTACTCCAAGTGATCCACCATAGGTTGTTCCTTTCTGCGCCCACCTGTACTCTATTATGATGCCACACTCATGTGAGCGTAAGCTAATGAAAATTGCATGTAACTGAAACAGGTCTCAACCGAATGCAGGTATACACTGTAGCGCCGCTGTTGAGAGCCCAAACGATAGAACAGCAACAAGTATTTACTTACAATGGCACTTCAGTGAGAGGCACGACGAAAGGCGTCATTTCATTTCCAGCCACTTGCCACGTCGCCACAGAGCAGCCCACCAATGAGAGGAGAGAAAATACGACCACGGCAAGCCTTGGTTTACTGCATGGACGGACATTAAAAGTGGGATGAGAAATTTCCAACCATTTCGAGAAAGAGAAAGAGACTTAAGTGTTTTGAGTACAGTGTCTTCGAAATTTGTCATTATCTAGTAAACTCACGCCATCGACAGCATCATTAAATGCTCGAAAAATACAAAAGAACTAGCCCAATCATCACTCATTAGTACTGAAACCAAACATTTTGCTATTACTTCAGTGAAAGAACGAGTGTGTTTTTCTTTTCGAAAAAGACGTTCTTGGTGAACAACACTTATAGCGGTGCTAAAAGAAACAATTTGGCTTAGATGAATAAACTGCATTGTGAGAAATTTATTGCCATGTGTTTCACACACATAAGTTCATTATTGGCTGAGAAAACTGAGCTTAAAGTTTCATAAGGTTTCAGGCTTAAATCTCTGCTCTTGCGTCAGAAATTTCAAAATGTATTTTTCCTAATGCCTAAATGACATTTTCTGAAACTTTGTTGCTAGATCTACGGCACCCACATATAAGAATATACTTTACTTTTATCAATGGAAAGATACATATGACCCAATAGGCGCCTTCAAAATCTATGTCGTCCCGTTGCTTAGTGCCGAATTTTCAAGGTTGCGTCTCCACCCACATTCTCTCTTCCCGCATTTTCTCGCTCACCAAGTGCCGTGTCACGGTAAGAGTCGTGTTTTCGGGTCTTTGAATTGGTGTTCTTCTAATACGCGAAAAAGTGCTTGGCTCTTCAGCGTCCCTTTATTATAGTCGTTTTATCGTGCCTCGTCACAAGTATACGCTCATCACATAGCAATCGCAAAAGCATCATACTATTCTTTTAAACTCCCTCATTCCTTTCCTCAAAGTACGGTAGCATACCAGTTATACTAAACTAGTTATAATCTATGTCTTCGCACCATTTCCTTTCTACCTCCTGTTTTCCCTCCTTTCTAAGTTGCCCGTGGAACAAGTCAAAGTAAACTGTCCCCAAAATCTTCCAATTTACTGATCTACGAATGCTTAAACGAACGTAACTAGCCCACACACAGTGCCGCATCCTGAATCTGGTAGGATATAAACGATATTGCTTTATTTAAAAGCTATGTGACGCCTTTTAAATACTGACATGTTTTAACATTGAGCGGCTTAATTCACCACTTTCTGTACAGTAAATTACGTCGTAATATGAGACTACTTCGTACAACTCATAAATATGTTCTTTCTTGTTTGCTGTGACGTACCTTAACTTCGAGGTGAATTATGCCAAATTATAAATTTTGTGTCTATATTCTAAGTGCTCAGTCTACCAGCAACATTTATTGATGTAGGGGCGTGCGAAGTTAGTAAAAAACAAATCCATTGTACTTCCCTGGAAGATGAAGTGGTAAGTGACTGATATGTGGGGTTTAACACCTCGAAATCACCATATAATTATCAGAGAAGCCGTAGTGGGGGGCTACGGAAATGTCGACCAACTGGGGTTTTTAACGTGCACCCAAATCTGAGCACACAGGCCTACAATATTATCGCCTCAGGTGAAGTGGTATTAAAAAACATGTGAGGATCACACCAGCTACGATAGTCACCCGAAACGGGAAAATGATTTGGCTTTGGTATAGCGTTGTGGCACTTTCTCTGCGCTCATTCAAACCATAATTGTGAGTCCTATTATCGCCATTGGCTTTTGAAAATAAAAAGAAACAAAGAATATAAATTATGCGAGGACATGTTCAAAGAAGGTCTTCCCAAGACATAGTTATCTCGGCTGGGGGCTTGAAATCTTCAACAAACAAAATTGTTTCGTGCATTTTGAATGCAGTACATTAAGTATTGTATAGTAACTAAACCTATGATGCGGTGCACTCTTCTCTGGTGACTTCTGGCGACTTCATGGGTGAACATGTGTGCTAAAGGCAAACCTTGGAAGAAGGCACTCTGAGCTTACCAGTAGCAAAAGTAATGTTGAAAGGCGCGTTTGGTGAAATTCAAACCGAAGCAGCTGCCTCGAATAGCGCACTGCCACAGTGCCCATATTTTCTATCAAAAATAACTGCAAAAGAGTTGTTGAATGCAGGCGTAGCTCTCGATATGAAACCGGTAATCGTTGTCACGAGGTCAATAGCGAAACAAAATTCCACCCACCAAGAACCTCCGTGACGCGTTATCAGTGCCCAGGATCAAAAACGCAGTCAATATGGTAATATCGGTGATCCAAGCTCAGACGCGCTTGAATCTACCCACGAGGGAGGCGAACACGCACCGTTTTTCATTCCTCTCACGAGCTTTGATTTTCAGGTGCTGTCTTTCATCAACAAAACGATGGTGATCGACGAACAGACAACCTAATCGATTGATTTGTGGGGTTGATTTGATTGATATGTGGGGTTTAACGTCCCAAAACCACCATATAAATATGAGAGACGCCGTAGTGGAGGGCTCCGGAAATTTCGACCACCTGGGGTTCTTTAACGTGCACCCAAATCTGAGCACACAGGCTTACAACATTTCCGCCTCCATCGGAAATGCAGCCGCAGCCGGGATTCGAACCCGCGCCCTGCGGGTCAGTAGCCGAGTACCTTAGCCACTATACCACCGTAGCGGTGCAACAGGAAACGTATTTAACCTTGGAAAAGTTCCGCTTAGGTGTTAAAAAGCAAGGCGCAAGCAGTGCTTCATTTTCTGAAAGAAATAACATTTTATACCGCAAGTTCAGGGGCAAGAAAGGCGCAAGTGCTGACCAAACCGTGCTCCCGCTGAAGTACCACGAAAAAATTCTAGAAATTTCTCATCGGGCAGGCTTGTCAGGTCATCTCAAAATTTCCAAGACAAGCGAGACTGCTCAATGAATATTACCGATCGGACTGTTTTAAAGACGTGGAGCAGTTCGTTCGTACTTGCGATGTTTGTCAGTGAACTGGCAGACCACACGAGAAACAAAAGGCGTTCATGACTGCAGTTCCATAATCACTGAGCCGTTTTATTGAGTAATAGTTGGCATTGTATAGTAGTATTTGGCATTACCGGTGACGAAGTCTGCATATAAAAAAAAATCGGCAAATCCCAAGTACCTGGGAATCGATGTTATGCAAAGCATGCAGATGGAAGGTGACCGTGTTGCAATTTTTTTATTGAGCGACACATCATTAAATGGCGCTGAATATATGTACAAATGTTGCTCGCACAGAAGTATGTTGAAAAGTTGCAGATGCTTATATAACCAGTTGTTTCCACTCGCGCAACGATGTCAAATGGAACATGCGTATTAGCAACACGAGAGGCTGATATGAAGCGATAATGCTCACGAGGATGCTGGCCCTAGACACTGCTTCATAAATCAACTTCAGTGGATGTCACTTAACCACTATTGAGGTTAACCCGACGTGACGGCTGTATCAAAGAAATATATACGTAATGTTTATAAAATTTGGTAGGCAGCACTGAAACCACTATTGACGTTTCATGAAGATTAGCGTCTATTTGAAAAGTAGTTCCGAGACCTGGCGTAGCTCTGTGGGATTCAACTTCCGGTTGCGAAAGCGTGCGAACGTGTTAATCATGAGCTTCGTAGGAGTGGCATCGACGGCTCAGCTTAGCCGTGGTTCCAGGATTGAAATGCCCCTAGATTATGCTGTTATTTTGCCCCCTCTGCCGAATGGGTATGTGGTTCAGAACACTGTTTTTCTGCATGCGGATGTAAAAGGAAGACATTATCACGAGGAAGACTTTCGCGAGCCACTCTTTCGACGTGTTCAGCCCACCGAGGTTCTTGCGCTCGGCGCTTATCAAATGAACCACGTGTGGGCAGTGACGTGCAGGAGCACTGACGGTGTAAAGAAACTTTTAACTGATCCGCAATTGACTGTGAAAGGCCTCAAATGCATGATAATCGACCCAAGCCACCGCAACGTCCGTCTGAAGCTGCATTGGTTGCTCTACCACGTACGAGAAGAGGACGTACGAAATGCACTGACCCCCTACGGGACGGTGCTTGACGTATGAATGGATAATTGGCGAATTGACGGCTACACCCAGCAGAATACCATGACGAGAACCATGACGCTCCGGCTAAAGGTTAACGTTACGCTGGACAATATACCTAACCAGTTACGAGTTGGAGGAGAGCTCGCACTTATTGTGCCAACCGGAAGAGCGCCGCGGTGTTTGCGCTGCCAGCAGATTGGCCACATTAGGAGGGACTGTCGAGTCCCGCGGTGTGACACTTGCAAGCGTTTTGGACACGCCCCTGGGAACTGCACGAAGACGTATGCAGCAGCTACACTGAAAACCGGGAGCATGGATAAATCCGAGCTCACTATAAACGAGGCCGAAGCAGAAGAATCGGTGAAATCAAAAACGGCTTGTGAAAGTTAAACACCTAGTCCAGCAGCCATAACGCTATTGCAGAAAGAACCACCAAGGTCAACTGACAGTGAGGGAGTGCAACCTATCGCGGATGCATCGGCGAAATCACAGGTGACTTCTGCAGAAAAAACATTCAGTACAGGGGCGTGATGGATGTTAAAGAAGCAGGACAAACAAGTGAACCTGCGTGTATGCAAGCGGCCGCAGAATCATTGACGAGCGCAAAGGAGACTTATGTTTTAAACGACGTAACCGCTGCAACAGATAAGAGCGAATCATCTACTCAAATTGTCCAGGAACCTGCCGAGGGTGGTGCCATGGAGTTGCATGACGCCGAGAAACCAGGTGCGGGAAGGAAACGACCACGAGACGCAGCCTCAACAGAATAAAGTGATATGAGCAATCAAGAACCGCCACCAAAAGCAACTCTTCTTTGGAGGCAACGACTGGCGGTCAAACATAATATAACAGAAGGGGTAAAGAGGGCGGGAAAACCGGCCTCTTCACAACACATTATGTGTCGCCTTCTACCAAGAAGGTGCACCGGACGACTAAATAGGCGGAGTTCGGCTAAGACGGTATGGTGAGCCGCTACTTGTATTAAAAAAATGAGCCTGAAACTTAAAAGAGCATTGCGCTTTGCCA